CTTAGAGGATTATTTCGTGGAGGTAACTAGGTAAGAGTTACGTAGGTAGGTAGTAACGAAACGAACAATGCTGCTATATTATGAACATCTTTACAATTCCTTACGATCAAACTATAGGGGATGAAAATTGCCGAACCATATATTAATAAGTTGAGAAATAATTTCCTACACAAGATGGCAATAATAATTTCCTCAATCGATCAAGTCTCTTTATACTCTGTTGCAATATTGTAGTCACATCAGGAAAGTGCTTTAGATTAAAAGCTCTTATCTACTGGGAGAGGAGATGGACTTTTCTTCATAAATTGTATACTCGTATAAAAATATTGGCGGCCATTCGAATAGTTATATTTAATGTATTGCTGTTAGGCTCGTTTTCGTTTAGTGATTTTGTATATTGGCGTTTTTCATTTTTATTTCGCAGAGAAAATTGAGAAAAGATTACTGTGCTTTGTTGAATCGTGTTTGTTTGCGTTAATAAATATCAGATAAAAACAACAAACATTTAAAAAAACCTGTATATGAGAGCATTGTGTAAATCTGGTGTATTATTTACTAAATTTACGAAAAAAGAAAAAAGAAATTGGTTTATTGTACTTGAGTTTGTTATTTCAATGTCTATTTTTCCTGTTCGAATGGGTTGTAATTGCGTAACTGTGGGAATTCTTATATTTAACACTCCCAACACTAAATAACGATTTAAAATTTCTAATCAACTTTTATTTTTAATAACATTGACAACTCTCATTTCTCAACGATTTTTTTATCCCTTGTTATCTCGTCGTCCTAGAAACAAGGATCATCGGTAGCGGACTACCTGGTCGCCACATAACTCTTGTTTATATTTTATCGCTTTTGTAAATCCTTTATTTAGATTTGTTTCATGCAAGAATAACTATTTTTTTTTTCCATTCAATTCAAAATGAATTTTATTTTGATATACATAAAACGATTCGGTTATGGGTAATGGTACCCAAAACTCCTTGACGTGTGCGTGCGGTGCGCAAGAACGTCCCTACCATGTTTTGAACAGAAGATACCTACAACATAGAGAAAAGTCGTCCGCGTAGAGCTACAAGTGTGATTAGTTTGGGGCCCATTACAACGTCGTCAATCAAAGAAAGGTAGGTGCCATGCCCATTTAATAATTGCAATCGTTTTTTTTTTCGTTAATTTGTTCATTTAATTTTCTACATGTTGGGCAACAGTTTTACAGCCCATTAGCACTTATTCTTGTTGCGCTAACATTTTGGTCCTTCGAACGCAGGATTGTTTGATTTTTTTTGGAAAAAGAACGTAATTTGTTTCGATTTGTACACGTATCTAACCATCTTGAATAGCAATTTCATTTAAATTTCGTATAAGTACATTTTTACATGCGTCAATTGTTAACCTTATCCATTAGGTGCGCGCTTATCGTTAGATTGTAGTCTTTGTTGGGCAGTGCCGGCTATTTGAAAATTGTTTATCGCTACATCCCATCCTATCCTTATTTATTACGTAAATTTATAAATTAATTTGTACTTTGGCAATATGGCAATGGCAGCAGAAAACTTAAAAAGACTTGAGGCGAAGAGGTCCCTTTACGCTTCTAGAATTACAGAAGCTTATCGCTCAGGCACATCAGCTCGAACGGATCTATTAGAACGTTCTCAGTTTAAGGCTAGATTCGAAGGTTTGGAACGTGCGTTTGAAAAATTCGGTGAAATTCACAATAATATTATAATGTTACTCAAAGAAGATGAGGAATTTGAAGGTCAGGATATTGTTCGTAGGGAAATTGATACCTTTTATTACAAGACTTTTAGACGCTTTATAACGATATGTTCCAGGCTTCTGTTTCGGTTGAAAATGCGCCTCCTCCAGTTGTAAGAAATGAGTCGAATGTTAAATTACCCAAAATCTCTATCGCGGTCTTTGACGGAAATTTGAAAAATTGGCCTACCTTTTACGATTTATTTAAAAAATTAATTCACGAAAACACCTCTTTAGCCAATATTGAAAAATTTCAATACTTGTTGTCTTTTGTTGATAAAGCGCCCTTGAATTTATTAAAAGGTGTTCCATTAACTGAAGATAATTATTCTATAGCGTTTGATAGTTTGGTTAAGCGTTATCAAAATAAACGATTATTGGCTACCAACGCCTTAAATGAAATGAGCAGCATAACTTTAAAAAATCCTTCTGCAAAAGAATTTAGGGCACTTCTAGACACATTTAGTGAATCGGTGTCGTCATTAAAGGTTTTAGGTTTTGCAGTAGAGCATTGGGATTTCCTTTTATTTAATAATCTTTTACAAAAATTGGACGTAGCTACGCGTACAGATTTTGAAGTGGAGTACGGAGCGAAAGAAATGCCTACCTTTCAAAACTTGAGCGATTTTCTGGAAAATAAATGTAAAGCGTTAGAATCTGTACAGCATTTACCCTTAGCGAGTACTTTGAAAGTAATGCATAAAAGTAACAATTATTCGTCTTCCTCCTTTGTAAACACTTTATCAACAAACGCCTGCTTAATGTGTAAGGGTGACCATTATATACCCCAATGTCCGTCTTTTCTCGCCAAGTAAACTGCAGATAGATTTTCTTTTGTAAAAAATAATCGCTTATGTGTAAATTGTTTACGCCCTTCTCATCAAGTCAAAACGTGCACTTCGCGTTATCGGTGTCGAACGTGTCAACGTCGTCATCATTCTCTTCTTCACGTTACAAGAACCGCAACTGATTCAAGTGTGGAAGCAGTTGACTCCTCGTTTTCAGAACTTCCAGCTGCTACTCCGTCTGGTGTATCGACCAGTAGTGCTACCACTACTTTAACCAGCACTTTGGGACTTGAAACTGTTGTTCTATTAGCAACCGCTATCGTAGATATTTTTGACGCTAAGGGCAATAGTCATGCTATTAGAGTATTGTTGGATTCTGCTAATCAGGCAAATTTTATTAACGAAAAATGTGCTCATCGTCTTTGTTTAACTAAACGATCCTTAACTACTGCGATTTTTGGATTAAATCAGATGCACTCTATTTCTGCCAAGGGTGTCGCGGCATGTGCTATCCAACCCCATAAGGCTACTGGACCTATTTTTTCGTTTGACGCGATCGTTATTTCAAAATTATGTCAGGATTTACCGACTTTTAACATCAATGCTCAAAATTGGAAACACTTAGATAATTTGGAATTGGCAGATGGTAATTTCCACGCTGATAAATCAATTGATTTGCTCATCGGAGCAGAAGTTTTTGCTCACGTTCTTAAAGAAGGCCGGATAATTGGCAAACAGGGCGAACCCACGGCTTTGAATACCGTTTTCGGGTGGGTTTTGCTGGGGAAAATTCATAGTTCTCGTGAGACCACTAAAAGGGTAGAAACTTATTGCACTTATATTAATGAAGCCACTCTACCTGAGACTTTACATAAATTCTGGGAAGTAGGTGAGATTTCCTCTAAATTACCCTATTCTTCCGAGGACGCACAGTGCGAACTAATTTATCGGGAAACCGTGTCTCGTACTCGCGAGAAGGCCGGTTTATGGTTACTCTTCCGTTCAAAAATTCTGAACCTGATTTAAGAAATACCTTCCCTTTGGCTCATCGAAGATTTTTACTTTTGGAAACTCGTTTACTTAAAAATCTTGACTTGTATAACGCTTACTCTTCATTTATGCGAGATTACCTTAAAAATGGTTACATGTCGGTAGTGGATCTAACCAAGAGTTCGTCATCTTTGTGTTATTATCTCCCCCACCATGGAGTATTAAAATCAGAAAACACAACAACAAAGTTACGCGTTGTTTGTGATGCGTCTGCAAAGGGCCCAAAGGGACTATCCTTAAACGATACATTACTAACCGGACCTAAGTTACAAAAGGATATTAGTGCACTTTTGTTGACCTTTCGTTACCATCCTATAGTATTTACCGCAGATATTAAGCAAATGTATCTACAGATTCTCGTAACGCCTCAACATAGAGACTATCAACGAATCTTGTGGCGTTTTTCACCTAACGACCCTATATCGGTATATCGTTTAAACACGGTGTCATTCGGAATATCATC